CACACTGTCTGTAAACCCACTGATCATACATGTACTACATCACACTGTAAACCCACTGATTCCACATGTACTACATCATACATGTACTACATCACACTGTTCTGCAGCCTCAGGTCAGCTCTCACTCACTGTAATACAAACACAATGTACCACAGACATTTTGCATTGTTTTCAGTTTTGATTTAGGACTGAACTTTTACATATTTTATTTTGTCTTTTTCCCTTAAGAAACATTTGGTTAAGACACCATTTATAAAGGGTTATTAAAGCTGAAATTAATGGCTAACTTAATGTTGATCAATTGTTTCTAATGGTTTTTTTATAATCAGCTTCTGGGATGCAAGGTTTTTGCATTATAATTTGTCTTTCTTCAATAGTTGGTCACTAGCATGTCAGCAGTTGTGTTTTGTGTTTCAGGCGTTTTTGGCTACATCCTGCTGCAGTAGCGAAACTGCCCAATAGTGGTGGCTCCCTACTGAATTTTCCACAACCTGGCAACCCCAAAGTTGTTCATATAAGTGGCTTATAACTAATCTGTAAAGCAAGAGTGGGGAAATATTTAACATTTATAAAGCAATTAAAGGTTTTAAACCATTGTAAATTGTGCCCTATAAGAAACCTTAATAGTTCAACCCCTACCTAGTGGAGAATCTTAAACAGTTAACACCTTTTTAACAATATCAGCAAATAATGAACAGTTGAAGTTTGTTGATTATATTGAGGAATTTTTTTTTTTTAACTGTTTTTTTAATTGAAAACTATATGAATCCATTATGTGGTTATTTAAGAACTGAAACCAATATATCAATATATTTATGGATAGTGGACAATATTTCTTAATGACTTCAACATTACTGCACCATGGTCTTAGCTCACATACTCATCAATGCAATGGAATATGTGCAGATATAATGGCCCAGCCATTTAAAAATAATGACCATATAACAGGGCTTTACATCCTTACATACTGTACGTTATATACTATAAATGTACAAAGGGTTTTGATGAGATTTAAAAATACCTGGAAGTCAATCTTCAGTACGTTAGGCGTAAACAGCCGACACTGTAAAAATACAATTCAGACTTCAACTCAATTCCAATTTAAGTGGGTGAAGCTGGACAATACAACCAAATACAACCTAATGCATCTACAAGAGCAGCTCAGCATTCAACATCTGCAACTTCTACATGGACCGTTTGACACCACTGTTGTAATTGAGCCAGGTTATCATTTTGTTCATATTGTTATTGAACCGGACAGCATTAGGTTAAATGGGTATGTCCAATATTGTGCTCCCCTTGTATGCAAATCAGACATAACATAAGAAAAAACTTCAATCTAATACAAATCATTGCAGTAAAGCAGAGCTCTTGTGTTTCTTGTGATTGTTTTGTGTGCCTAGTAAAGCAACCACTGGAGATAGTCAGCTGCACAAAAGTCATACAATACCCATTTCAATAACAATTAAACTGTTTCACTGAAGTTTTTATTTATTAATTCTATTTGTGCTTTTAGCACATTAACTGCATCCCAAACACCCTCCAAAAACTGACAGAGTGAGCAATGCTGTCCCAGATAGTGACATTATGGATGGGAGGATACATTTAAAGAGAAAGGGAGGGGGGGAAAAAAAAGGCACAACCATCCCCCTACATTTCTTGAAATGCTCCTGCTAGTCAGTCTTACAAAGAAGGGCCATGAGCCATACCACATAGTAAAGTGAGAGTGTACACTTAAGTTACCCTCAATGTTCCTCACTAGCAGTGGCCCTCTCTCAGTGCATGGAAAGGGGGGAGATAAAGGTGGACAAGACAGGAATGCTACCAACTCTTGGTGACTGTTCTCACAGTTTTCAGTAGAACTTCAGGATAGTTTCACCTTCCCCACACCCACATAAAGAAACCACCATACCTATATACAGGGAGCATAACATTCTTTCCCATGGTCTGTACAATTAGGCCTATACATTATTTACTGTGCATAATCTAATACAAAACAAAATATCACTCAGCTGAAATACAACATCTCCACCAATCTCCTCTTCAATAGCAGTGACTTCAAAGTTGAAGCCAAAGCAGGGCATGGTTAGACTATCCAGTTCTGTGTCTTTCAAATAAAAAATTCACATTTTTAATGGTAACGTGATCTGCCCCAAAACAAACAAAAAATATTTGCTATCCAGCTCAGTGTTTATTTTCTTATGGCCGGAACTCCAATTCATCTACACTTATGACCTTGGCCGGCATGGAGGGGAGTGGCTGTTCCAACACGTCTGTCCCAAACCATTTGGCGAGGCCTAGAGGGGGGCTGCCTCCATGTTGCTGGGAACCGTTTGTCCGGTGGGGGCCATGGCTCTGTGACATTGGGCCTTGGACACTTGGATGAACTGCAAAACGAGAAGAAAAGTAAATACAGTTTAATCCAAAAGCTAAGAATAAACCTATCCAAGTTCTCTCCCAATAAAAATGATATATAACCTAATATAACCTAATTTCCCTTTGGGGATGAATAAAGTAATCTATCTATCTATCTATCTATATACATGATTTTAAACACCTATGTAGCAGCAAACAACCATTCACATGTAAAGATTAGTGGAATAATGGCGTCCTGAGCAGAGAATGACACCTCACAACACATAATGAGGTGTCATTCTCTGCAGATTATAAAATAACATCTTGATACAGTTTAATACAAGATTATCTTGTGAATATGCACTCTCATAAAGCCTCCTTTTTAACCTAAGCTTTAAATTTATAGACAAAATGAAACCTTTGAGGAAACTTGATGCAGACACAATCACCCACACATAATCAACAGTAATATTTGACATCTCTTTAACTCACTTGGTCTTTGTTGCTGAAGTTGCTGCTGCATTACTGCTAACTGCATCTGAGTACTGGCTCGAGGAGGTAGAAGTGGATGCCCTGCTGCACTTAGAGGGTACAGCGGTTGTCCCAGCAGGGCAGGAGGGAGGCCTTGAAGTTGTGCCAGGTCAACGTGTGGTGGAAATATACCTGTAAGAACAAGACTATTAGTTCTCAGAATCAAATCAATTATTTAGTCAATAAAGTAAGTAAGAACAAGTTTTACTAAAGATGAAAACACAGGAAAATTAAATAAGTGATCATAATCTTACCTGCTTGCACAAGAGCAGGTCCAAGCTGCTGCGGCTGGATTCCCTGTGCCAGCATTCGCTGAACCACATTAGGGTGCAGCTGGGGAGGAGGACGCACCATGGGTACATGGGATAGCAGCGGCACTGGGTAGATGGGACGAGGGAAAGATGAAGACGGTCCTGGCGGTACCATGGTGGGTGTGTGGCGTCCAGCTGAACCAGGCCTGAGGCGTTCCTGCTCCTTGCTTGGCTGTGAGCTGGCCTTTACTCCCACAGACTGGGCTGCGTTCCCATCCATTGCTTCCAGGTATAGATTTGAGAAGCTGCTTTCTGTAATCATATAACCCAAATCTCAATTTTAGTCTTGCACTCAAATCAAGAAGTTAAGAATCCATAAATGTTCTATACCATCTTGAGAGTTTCCTCCATCCTCCTTCGTGTCTGAACGACTCACTGGGTCATCTCTGCTTTTTTCTTTTGTCGCGTACATTTTGCGGATTACAGATGTGGGTGTAAATGAAGGAGACAACTGAAATAATGAAAAATAAAATCACTGATAGCAATACCAGTTCATGAACAAATTAGTGTAAAGTTTAAAGACTGGTTGGTCTTTAAGAAACTCTGGGGTGAAAAATAAAAAACAAGCTGGGAGAATAACATTTATACTCACCATGCTGGTGACAGCATTGCCAGGAGAGTTTCTCCCTGCAGACTGAGGGCCTGGACCAGGAGAGCAATTTACACGCTGCTGTCTGTTGAACACAAGCACATTAACCATTTCTAAATAGCAAATGCTATTTGCTTCACAAAATGAAATGCAAGATAGAGTAGTATCTTAATGTCTTGAAAACCAACCGATTTCGAAAAGACTTATCCTGTGGCTTGTTGTAGTTGGACTGGAACGAGTGGTGGGCATGTAGAGCAAGGTCCTGTTGGAACGCCAGTGCTTCCAGGTCGGCCTGATTCACTGGCATTGAGAGCGCCCTCATCTGGACAATAAATACACACAGTTGAAGAGATCCCCAAATGATGAGGTCTTCAGAGCAAAACCATATTGTGGTGACCAAGCATGGTGTGTGAGATTTTTCAGAAATTCTAAAAAAAGCTATTGATTCATGTTTACTGAGACCAGATATTAAAAGTAACCTGTTGCTGTGCAGCAGTTCCTGGGCTGATGGACCTGTGTATATCATACTGTTCTGGCAGCATGGGCGGAGGACCAACAGCAAAACCTTGTGATAGAAGAAGTAAAGATGTCAGATGTTGTGGCAGCATTTTAAAAGGCTCTCCATGTTCAGAGTTTAAAATTGAAGCTGCTTTCTGACAAACTGACTGATAGACTAAGGCAAACCCTTCCCACAAGCATCAAAATAACTTTTGGATGCTTGAGCTCATTTCTGACTATTCTTAAGATTTGTGGGTGAAGTGTTAAGATTACAAGAGAAAATCAATGTACCAAAGCACTCTAATGGCATGGTGTGGTTTACAAGTGCAGCAACATGTCACCGTTGTAAAGAACTTACCTCCTGGAGGGTGTAACCGACTGTTGAAGTAGTCAGGTGAGGGTGCCCTCTGTGGAA